TGACTTTCATGATATATTTAAAAGAGAAAGACAGGTTGTCCCCTCAGTTGTGTGTTAGAGCAAGCTTGAGTTGGCTTATGAGAGTCAATTGTTAAATTTTAAGTGTGAACATTTGTTGTTGTTCAATCATATCTGACTTTTTGTGACCACATGTGGGATTTTCTTGGCAAAGATACTGAAGTGGTTTGCTATTTCCTTCTCTAGTGGATTAAGGTAAACTGAGGGTAACTTGCCCAGAATTACACAGCTGGAAGTGTCTGAGGCCAGATTTGAACTCAGGACTTCGTGATTCCAGGCCCAATGTTCTATCCACTGAGTCATCTAGCAAGGAACATTTTTATCTTGAAAACTGCAAGTGTGAACATGGAAAAAGTTGCAAGAATCAGTGCTTGATTTAGGATTTTATTGATTGTCCAGAAATGAAAATGATGGAGAAAATGCAGTTAAATGCAGTTAAATGCAGTTAATGCAGTTAAACCTTAAAAGTATGTTGTGGGTACAGTTGTTGTTGTCTTTTTTTTTTTAAGAGCTGGTTGTTAAACATTTATTAGCATGCTAATCCCCTCTATCCCTTGATTAAAAGAAGAAAAAAAGACAGATTGCTTTTGAAAATACTTTCAAATCAAAAGGAATTCATTTTCCCAATCAACTGATGCAGACAATATCTTGTATCCTAGTTTCAGCTCATCAAAAAGACTAATGGATTGGTGCTTCTAAACTTGTTTGAATAACTGTACTCTTGCCCATTCCAGTAGCTATTATTTTTAGGCAGGAGGATTTCTGCCATGCAACTATAGATTAGTTATTCATATTACACCTTTTGTCAGAATAGCAAAATTCCAGAAAGGCAAAATCCTGAGTAGGTCATTAAACCCAGCTCTGTGTTGTTCTACTTCAACCTCTTAAATATTCGATTTTGTTCTAGTTCTTTCTTCCTCGTTCTCTGACAAGTTGCCAAAGCTGGAAAATGGATTACTGGCAATCAAATAATGGAGTATCTAAAAGGTCAAAATAATACAAACATCCTGTTTTATTTCAGAAAGAAAGTGAGTTGTTGAAGCTGTGATTTGCCATCCCAGGGCCCTATCTTTCTTAGAGCTTGGTCATTTCTACCTGAGAAGGGTGCTCACATTACAAGGACAATACTGTTTTCCTGATAGTGCTTATGATGTGTGCTGAATACTGCCAACAGAACTATTTTCATCAAAATCATAATGAACAATCCTGCCATCCTTTAGAAATCACATGATGCTCTAACTAATAAATGCATTTCCAGGTGAGACACTAAAAATGAGGCTAGCTCTCCATTTTAGGTCCTTCAACTCTGATTTTTTGATAGATCTCACTCATAATGTAAACTCCCTCCTCCCTCTCATTTTGCACACATGCCCTAAATTCAAGAATTTCCAAGCCTATACAGTAAGTGGAAATTTCCCCAAGTAACATCAATCCATAAATCAGGGCAGCAATGGGATCTCCTGCTATTCTAATACATTTATCGTAATAACAGCTTCTAAATGTAATTTAAAAATGCAATTTTCCACTGCTTAAATTATTTAGCTGTACAATGTGCCTTCTGATGGCACCTATGGATTATTTTCAAGTGATCATAATAATGGCGATTTGTTGCCCCAAATTATATCGTTCTGCAGTAATGTAAGGCTGAGTTGAAGTTGTTAGATTGTATGAAAACTGACAACCACCCAGATTTTGAAAGTTAGGGCAGACAAGGCGGAGTCTCATGAGAGCAGAAGTAATATTCTGCTTTTCTTTCTCCTGGAATGCCATTGAAAAACTATAGGTACTGTGAGGCTCTCTATTTTCTCCAGGATAAAAACAGAAACAGCTTTGTTTTGCATTTAAAGTCTTTCATAATCTGGTTCCTACCTATTTTCCTAGATTGATTTCTCATTACTTTTGCTTCACACAGTCTACGTACCAGATAGGCTGGCCTCCTGAATGCTCTCCATATACAGCATTTCTATGGTCTACCAGCACATTTTTGCGAAGGCTGTTCCATACACCTATAACACAATCCTGTCACACCTACACCTTTAAGAAACCCGAACTTCCTTCAAGGTGCAGCTTAAGAGTGAACTCCTATATGAGACCTTTCTAGAGCCTTCTAATTATTAGTACCTTGCTGCCACCTCCTCACAAAATGCCTTTCTATTTACTGTGCATGCTTTGTATGAACTTAATCATTTATATGTTCATCTCCTCAATCCCTCCCCCCAATAGAATATAAGCATCTTAAGGGCAGTGACTGATTCATTTTGTCTTTGTATCCCCAAAGTATAGCAGACTGCCTGACAGAGACAATTCTTAATGAATACTTGTTGAAAGAATGAATTGGGACTGACCTCAAAATGAGCCAAAGTGAGTGAGGTTTATTTCACCAAAAAAAGCATCTTGATCTAGAGAGGCAAATCAACACTTTTGAAGTGCAGAGTGCTCAGTTGGCTAAAAACAATTTGCATTAGTGGGAGCAAAAAACTAGTGTCCTGGAAGGGTTAATTTATCTCACATGGACAAGCAGTCATTCTAAATGCAGTTAGCTTTCAATTCCCCATGCTAGTGGAGTAAAAGTCATTCCAAAAGTACAAAATCCTTTCTTTGTTTCTTTTTTCCTTTCTTCCATTTCTTCCTTTTTTCTCTTCTTTTTCTTCCTTTTTTCTCTTCTTTCCTTTTTCTTCTTCTTCTTCTTCTCTTCTTCTTCTTCTTCTTCTTCTTCTTCTTCTTCTTCTTCTCTCTCTCTCTCTCTCTCTCTCTCTCTTTCTCTCTCTCCCCCTTTCTTTCTTCCTTCCTCACAACTTTTCTTTATTTCTCTACTCTCTCTATCTCACTCAGGTTGGGATTGCCACATCCACTCATGGGCCCACTCATACTACTGATGAGAATGGAAGTTTTAACCTGCTACATTTCTAACCTGAATCATTTCACTGCTCTTTGGCAGCCTGGTGTACCACCACTCCTCACCTCCCAGAAACTCACCTCATTAGTGCCAGACTTAGTATGGACACCCAAACGGCTTTAGCCCTACTGTAGCTCGAAACTCCCACATTCAAGTTTTATCTAGTTTCCTTCAGTAGTAGGGATTACAAAGATACATCACCATGCCTGGCCAACATTAATTTCTTAAGGCTTTGGAAAGTTGTGTTTTCCTTCATTGTCATCTGAACAGTTCATATAGGTCTATTATCCAGTGGGAAAATTCCCTCCACTGATGCAGAAGCTGATTGGGAAGTAGCAACAGTCAGAATTGCTCTACCAAAGCATTCTGGGTCCCTTGGGGAATGAGGATATCAGTAGTTCAGATCCAATGTGTAAAAGAGCTTCTGGACCAAAGACATAATTTGCAGCATTCTGCAAGCATTGAGTCATAAGTTGACTCTAGAACCATATCTTTCTTCTACTGTACTTTGTAGCTTGGATTTTGTTGATATCTGTCTCAGGTTCTGGTCACAACTTCTTCATAAATTTGTTGAGTTAGTGATTTAAACCTTCCTAGAATTCTTATCTGAAACAGAGGGATAAAATGAACAGTTGGCCAAGCACTGAAGTGGGAGAGATGGTGAAGTACCCTTAGGAACTACTTCTAAATTGATGATGATGATGATGATGATGATGATGATAAAGTACTTGTATACAGGGGATACTCCAGGGAGAATTTGAGAGTTCAATAACTTCATAAAAGTGTTTCCCCAGAGTGGAGTAAGACTATGTAATGTGTACTATGTAATAAAGCAGGGAGCAACCTGGAGAAAGGAGTAACTATTTGGAGGAAAATCAAGAAGACAGACCTGAAAAAGAAAAAAAAAATAACTAGACTATAACTTATAGTCTTTAGGGAACTGTCTAAGGTATGTCAAGTGATTTGCCCGTGGTCACACAATTAGTTGTATCAAAAATAGGATTTGAATCCAGGTCTTCCTGGGTTCTAAGGCCAATCCTCTATCCACCAAGCCATGTTGCCTCTCCTTGGGAAATATCACATGATTTTGTATGTGTTTGTGGCAGACTCACTTCTTTATTGCTGACACTTAATATAGAAATAGTGTATTATCTGAACACATACATTAATAACAGTTTGACAGTAGGTGTGTGTGTGTGTGTGTGTGTTTTGAGAGGGAGAAGGTCACAGCAAAGGGATAAATTCTGGGAAAGAAGTAGTTTGTAAAGAACATAGGATGAAAGAGGAAGTTGAACCTGTCAATTTCCAACAGGTAATCTACCAAAATTGCAATTCACAGGTGTATAACTGATAATCAACTATAAATCTTTTGTGTCTAGGAGTAGTTTATTCCAATCTTGTTCCCAAATCATAAATTATTAAAAGAAAACTAAGAATGAAAGAACTTTAGTTCAGTGTTGGGTTTTTGTTTGTTTTTTTGAATGAATAATGATTGGTCCAGTCCATACCTATGATTTCCTCAATGTGAGGAACTCCCAGTACTTTCCTCCTACACAAATGGGCAATTGCCAGGAACTGAAAAAGCTGTCTGGGAGGCACGGAAAGGTTCAATGACTTGCCCAATGTTACATGTTAGTAATTGATAGAGGCAGACCTTGAATCCAGGTCTTCCTGACTCCAAGGCCTGCCCTCTAACTACTTCACTATGCTATCTCAAAGCCTTCATTTTAGAAAGCATGAAAAACACAAAACGAAAGAAAAATTTAGACCTAATATATAAATCCTTAATTTCTACACCATAATTGTTGTGATTGCAGTAAAGGTTGATTTCTTTTTTGGAAATTTTTATTCTATCTTATTTTTAAAAAAACAAAACTTAAAAAAGAGTCTTCTTGTACTACCATAAGTGGATTTATGGCTCATAATCCTGGGGTCACTTAATTTTCCCTAAACACCAATTTCTACCTCAAATCAATAAGGAATTCTGAAGCCATTCCAATAATCACCCTTAAGTATCATATTAAAGGGATTTAGCTGTGTGATCTGTTTTAAACTGCTCTCAGGAACAATTGGCTGCTTTTCACAGGAGTTGAAAGAAAAGATGGATGAGCTCCTGCCCTTGATCCCAGTCCTGGAACAGTACAAAACGGATGCCAAGTTAATCACCCAGTTCAAAGAGGAAATTAGGAATCTGTCTGCAGTCCTTACAGGAATTCAGGAAGAAATTGGGGCCTATGACTATGAGGAACTGCATCAGAGAGTGCTTAGCTTAGAAACAAGACTTCGAGACTGCATGAAGAAACTAAGTAAGTTTAATGATTTTCTTTACTTTTCTGAGTTGTGTGTTTATCTTTACTAAAACTAATCTTTTGCTTTTGTAATATTGAATATAGCTACTCTAAGAAGCCCTCAGGTATTGAGATGATGAAACTGATTTACTCAACACAACCAGAGGCTATATATGATTGGGAAAAGAGAGTCCTCTTGCTTTTTTGTTTTGTTTTGGGTTTTTTTGGTGGCAATCAGGGCTAAATGACTTACCCGGAGTCACCAAGTTAGTAAGTGTCTGAGGTCTGATTTAAATTCAGGTCTTCCTGACTCCAGGGTCCATGCTCTATCCGTTTTACCACCTAGCTACTCTGGAAGTCCTTTTAATTTAAACATATTTTCAAAAGCAAGCTGTTTTGTTCTGAATAGCAGAATGATGTTCCATTGTTTCTTTTCAAATGTTTCTTGAGAGTCATGCTGGAAGAATGGATAGCAATCCAGTCTCTGAGTCAGAAAGACTTGAGTTTAAATACTGCCTCTGACACATACTGGTTGGATGACCTTTGGAAAATGATCTAACCATTCAGGGTCACAGGGGGTTGATAAGGATATAGTTGGAAAACACAGAGCAAGATTCAAGATCAGCTCCAATAACAATTGCAATGAGTAGGCAGACTCCTTGTGCCTCCCTGTTATTCCACAGAGATATGTATCTCTGATCTTAGTCTCATTTCAACTGTACAAGGTGAGGTTCTTGTCTCATCAGAGGAGCAATGACCCCTCTCCTTGTAACCTTCAGAGAGAGGGAACCCACTACCTCCCCCAAAAGCCTTTTGGATAGCTTTAATACTTAGTAATTTTGTTCTGTCATGAAACCTTAATGTGCCTCTTTGCATCTTCTAAACACTGTTCCTAGTTCTGCCTGGAGGCGCCCAGCAGACAAGCCTACAGATTCATGAGAACACATGTTCTATCTTCCCCAAGCTTTCTCTTCTCCAGACTAAATTACCCCAGGTCTTTCAAACGATCACCATGAGCATTAAGTCAAAGCTCTTCACCATCCTGATTGCCCTCTTCTAGACATCGTCCAACATATCAATGTCCCTCTCTGAGTAAAATGTTCCTGAAACGAATTAAGTAAACATGAGGACTTAATATTTGATTAGAAAATGACTGACTTTCTGGGAAGCTGGGTACCATTTTAGTAACATGAAAATAACAAGATCACAAATACAACTAAATACATGGAGATTTGTGCTTGCATTATATGACCTTTGAAGTCTCTTCCAAATCTAAGTATCTTTAATAATATAGATATAATGAATGTATACAATAATCTCAGCTTTATAATGTGTTCTCCTCACAGGAGGTGGGGAGTGAAAATATCAATATGCACAGGAAAGGGAATGTTGACTCTAGAATCAAAGGCCTGGATTAAAATTCTGCTTCTGACATGTACCTCTGTGACTCTGGACAAGTCACCTATCCTTCCTGAATCCTCCTTTTCTAATTTGAAGGTGGTGGATTAGGGGGTCCATGAGATCCATTCCTCCTCTGGATCTAAGATTCTATGATACTCCTTTACAAATGAGAAAAACAAAGCTCAGAAAAGTGAAAAGTGAAGTGAATTGTCCAGGTTCACACAGCTTGAAAATGTCAGTACCAGAACTCAAGTCTAATGACCACAAACAATGCAGGCACCACTATAAATGTATAGTATCTCTAATAGCCTTGTTAATGGAAAGGAATATAAGAGATATGTCCAATGACCCACTGGCTAGAAGGTGACTGAAATAGTGGGAAAGCTACAGTGTAGAGAATGGAAAATGGCAGTGGGCAAAACTTCTTTACATTCATCCTGCAGAATGGTGGTGTCTGTGGTTCAAATCTATGAGAGAGGATAAAAGCCAAAAAGGATATTCCTGGCTCACAGACAGAATTCATAGCATTTGTCCACGAGTTGACTACAGAACCACTGCTCTTTTCTATAGTGGGATGTGGCTTGAATTTTGTTGGTTTCTACATCAAGATCCAGTCATGACTACTTCATAAACTTTATGAGCTGATGATTTCACTTAGGCCTTCTGGGGATTCATGTCTACAACACAGATATAAAATGAGCAATTGGCCACAGTCTGAAATGGGAGGAAGGTGAAGCCCCTTCAGGAACTAACTCTATGTTGTTAAGAAAAAGGAATGCTTGTGCGTAGAGGGTACTCAAGGGAGCACTTGGTTCCTCATTAACTTCAGAAAAAATGTTTCCCCTGAGTAGAGTAAGACTATGTGCCAAAATAGGGGAGAAGTAACAGTTTGGGAAAAAGAGATGGCTGGGCCTGGAGTCAGGAAGACCTGATTTCAAATCTGGCCTCAAACACTTATTGTGTAAATGTCTGGGCTAGCAATATAACCTTTGTTTCACTTTCCTCATATGTAAAATGGAGATAATTAATAATGCCTATATGCCAGATTGCTGTAAGAAGAAAATGAGTTAATACTTGCAAAGCACATTGCCAACCTTAAAGTGCAACATGAATTGTAGCTATGATTATTAGAAGTAGAGAAGAAATACCTGAAGAAGAAAAAAGAATGTGCACAGAATTTCAGAGTTGGAAGGGTGCTATGAAGCCAGCTAGACTAACCACTGGCTAGATAAATGAAAAGACACCTAAGGCACCACACTTCATTTTCAGACAGCTATAATCATTGTGTTCCCTTAAATCAAGCCAAAATTCGCTTCTTTGCAACTTGCTCCTATTCTATTTTTCCCTTTTTTGTTATTTTCAGTCATTTTCAATCATGTTCAACTCTTCCCGCCCCATTTGGGATTTTCTTGGCAAAGATAATGGAAATGGTTTGTCATTTCCTTCTCCATCTTTATTTTACAGATGGGGAAACTGAGACAAACAGGATCATGTGACTTTCCCAGGGTCTCTAAGCTATTGAGTATCTAAGGTTGGATTTAAACTCAGGAAGATGAGTCTTCCTGACTCCAGGCACAGCACTCCATCCACTGTGCCACCTCTGGGGTTAAGCAAAATAAGCCTGATCACTTTTCCATATGACAGTCCTTAAATATTTCATGATGGCTACCATGTTCCCCTGAATATTCTTTTCCTAGTCCCTTCTACTGATCCACATAGGCATGAACTAGATACCGTTTACCATCCTAGCTGTGAATTTGTTAAATGGCCTTGCTTAAATCAATATATCTATATCTATATATCTATATATACATATATCTATATACACATATATGTGTATATATGTATATATATGTGTGTGTGTGTATGTATATATATAGTCCTCTTATCTAATCAAAGGTTAGATGGCAATTGTTCAGATATATATGCTATTCCAACTTTAAAGAATGTCTATAGTTATAGGATGAAAAATTTAGACCTTAGACCTCATCAAGTCTAATAATTTCATTTTGCCCATGAGGATATTGAGACCCAACGAGATGAAGTGATTTGCCCAGGGTCACATAGCTGGTAAGTATTTGAGCTCAGATCTTCCTGATTCCAAATCCAGGGCAGCGCCCATAGCACCACACATATAAAGACCTATGCAAATTGTCATAAATAAAATGTGGTGTCACCATAGAAGGAGACAGTTGCAGAATAGTCTAATCCTTAGATGTCACATAGGTTCCACCCTATCTCATCAATAAAATGAAATCTGAAAGCTTTACTTTATGCTGACCTCTACGGCAGTAATCACAGAAGGACATTCTATCATAACCATTAACAGAACACTCTTTTCCATTATGAATCATGAGAAATGACATCATCGAAATTAAAAATATAAAGAGAAACCCTAAACTAGTAACAAGAATCACCCAACTCCTCATCCCAGATCAGTGGCCATCATTTTGTAGAGAAAACCCACGTAGATTGCCTTTCATAATTATTGTTTACAGAGATAAGGGAGCGACTGCCAAGCTTGTGCATTGTGTGTGTGTGTGTATACATACATACATACATACACACATACACACACACACACACACATATATATACACTCATTTTAGCAGAAATGAAATAATTGGAAAAAACAGGAGAATGTTATATCTTTGTCACAGAATGATTTAAACTAAATAGTTCCTTGTTATATTCTGTCATGATAAGAGTAGCTTGGGTTATTGATAGGTTATGTTATTTTTATCCGAGATAAAGAAAAATATGAGAGTCATCATGACATACTAGAGGTCCAGCCTCAGACATGGGAAGAATTGGGTTTGTAGATGTAGATAGAAAGAACCTTTGAATATATTTATTACAATCCCCATATTTTACAAATGAGGAAACTGAGACTAGGGAATATTAAAGGACTTGCCCAAGATCACAGAAGTATGGGGGGTTAGTGGTGAGATTTGAGCCCAGGTTCTCTGCCTCTAGCTTCAGGGCTCTTTCCATTCTATCCTGCCTCTGACATATGGCTATGTGAAGCACTGTGCATGTTCCAAGAGACTAGAGTTGGAAGGCATCTTCACCACAACCACCAACCAAATAAATCCCTTCTCTGCCAAAAGAGAAAACATTATAATGTTGAAAGTATAGATAACGATGTAAGAAGCTAAATATATGCCTTCCAGGAATGAGGGAATGACCCTGTTTAAACACATAGAGATGTTAGCTGTTGCTCCTACTGTTAGCTGTTGCATCCTACATTCACGGACATCCCTTACCCACTTGGTGCCCCCAGTATCTCTCTAAGACAATAAATTGAAAATCCAATACCAACTTGCACTGGTACAGGGAGATTCCTCATCATAGTTTCCCTATATCAATAAAATCACAGGTTCAGTATTTTAAACTGAAAAGGAAAAATACATATTTATAAAATCACGGAAGTTAAGGTTTAGAAGGGGCCTCAAAAGGTTTCTAGCAGACTGAGCAGAAATCCCCTCTACAACATCAAGGATAAGTTTATTCATTCTCTATTTGAAGATCTTTAGTGATAAAGAACTCTCTATTTTAATTATCTTTAGATCTAATAATTAGGGAGTTTCTCCTTATATCAGGTTAAAATCCACCTC